AACTGCATAGCAAAACCATGTGTCAAAAAGGCAGGGAAAAAAAATCACTATATGGTCATTTCAAAACAGAAACAGTATTTAATAAAAACTGAGCAAACTAGGAATAAAAGACAATGTATTCACCTTAATAGAGGGTATCTTCCTTGCTTTACAGACAAAATGACTTAAACAGAGAAGGTAAATGGTTTGTCCAGTGTTACACAACTGGAGTGAGACCTAGGAGATAAACCCAGAGTCTCTCCTTTTAATTATTATGTGACTGTGCTTCTTAGTATATCCTTTCTGAGCCCCTGATCTGTTTGAATGATTTTCTTAGAATTTTTCCTCTCTTGGTTTTGGGAAGGAAAGTACCCTAGCGCCCAGTCCCACAGGGGTGAAGGTGGAACATCTCTTATTACACGGTCAATGCTCGCATCAACACTTCCCTTTCCCTTGCTAGTCTCCTATGCTGGAGCTGGGGGTGTCAGAGTGGCGGGGTGCTGGTAGCTGGAAGTGAGCTGTGTTCCCTCTTAGGAAACTGCAGAAGAATTCTCTGGCTCTTTTTAGTTGTCTGCTCAACTCTGTGCCCTGGCCACCAATGCTGGGGGAAAGGAAGAGTTAGTTTTTATTAGAGGCTGTTGTAATATGGGACAGAGAATGGTGCTTGGACTAGGGTGGTAGTGAAAATAGAATCAGATGAATTTGGGATGTATAATGGTTAGATAAAGCCATCAAATCCTGGTGGATTAGATATGGGGGGAGAAGAAAATAAAAGTCAAAACAAGATTTTGGCTTGAGCAACCAGGTATGAAAGTGACCTTTGTCCGTCGCCCTCTTTCTCTTCAACGAGGCGGCGGAGCGGCAGACGCAGACATGCAGATCTTTGTGAAGACCCTGACGGGCAAGACCATCACCCTCGAGGTTGAGCCCAGTGACACCATCGAGAATGTCAAAGCCAAAATCCAAGACAAGGAGGGCATCCCCCCTGACCAGCAGCGTCTGATATTTGCTGGCAAACAACTGGAGGATGGGCGGACCCTCTCTGACTACAACATCCAAAAAGAGTCCACCCTGCACCTGGTGCTTCGCCTGCGAGGTGGGATCATCGAGCCATCCCTGCGCCAGCTTGCCCAGAAGTACAACTGTGACAAGATGATCTGCCGCAAGTGTTATGCCTGCCTGCACCCCCGTGCTGTCAACTACCGCAAGAAGAAGTGTGGCCACACCAACAACCTGCGCCCCAAGAAGAAGGTCAAATAAAGCTCAGCCAGCCCCTCGTCCAGAAGGGCACCACCTGCCCAACGCCTGCAGCCTTGGGGCCTGAATAAAGTTTCCCTCCCTTGACTAGAGCAAAAAAAAAAAAAAAAAAAGAAAGTGACCTTTACTGAGATGGAGAAGACTTGAGACGCAGTATGGGAGTGTAAGGGTGGGTTGGTCATCAGTGATACTGTTTTACATGGTTAAGTGTTAGTTACCCGTGAGACGAGTAGAAATACAAAATAGAAAGCTGACCTATGCATTTAAAGCCATGGGATAAAATAAAATTAATTGGGCCGAGGATGAGAGAAAAAGGAAGGCTGATTTAAGCCTTACTTCCTTTGGTATTCAGAGAAAAAAATCAGCAAGACAGGACACCAGGGAGAAGAAGAACTGGGAGCATGTTCGCACTGTCCCAAGAGGACAGTCTTGTCATGGTTTGAGAACCCCTCGGAGTAGGCATCCAGCTGGCTCAGCTGTTTTCAAACAAATGCTGAATTCAGGATGTCTGTTGTATTAGAAATAGAAACTGTGAGCAAAATATAAAGTTGAGGTTAAATTACCTTTACGATCTCTTTCATCTAGATGAGTCTTTCACTAAAATTCTTTTTTGTACCTTTTTTTTCTTTTTAAATCTAACTCAGAATCTTGCATTTGCTAGGCAGGCACTGTGCTGCTGAGCTATCCCCAGCCCTATCACTAAAATTTTTATCCCATGAATCTTAAATATGAATATAGAAAGACATTTTTTGATGAAGAATTTAGAGCATAGCTAAGTTCTCAGTCACTTACCTCATAAAAGGTTCTATTCGGTTTGCATTTTCTTTTGGTGGGAAGAACAAATGGGAGATGAAAAAGTGTGACGCGTGTGCACACTTACTTTAGTTCATACTACAAAGAATATGAACTTTCAGCTAACTTTTTTTTGTCTTCAATATTTGAGATTTTATTGGTTGTGTTGAGGATCAGTACCCATGATTCATTTTGTTCACAATTCTTAACACATACCAAAAAAAGCCATGTATTGTTTTTCAGTTGTTCCAGTGACTTTCCAGCTTCAATTTAAAGGCAAATTTTCTGTAAGAGGATTAAGTACCAGTATCTTCAAATGCTGACAAAGTGTTACTTAAGTCCCACCAATTCACAATTTTGTATCACATACACTATATATTCAAATTTTTTATCTTTCACAGCACGTTAACAAAATGAGGCAAACCGGACTACCACTACCAAAGATGTTACAGAGTGCACACGATTCTAACAGGGTAACAATTAGGATGTAGTTTTCTTTAGGAAACAATTCTACTAAAAACATGGGAATAGAGGTCATTTAAAGTATCTAAGACATATTAAATGCAGGACTGTAATTCCAAATTGCCATTTAATATGCTTTGTATTGCAGGATATAAAACTAATCCCACCTATGGAATGCTAAGCTGACACCCAAGAGAGTAAAAGCCTGCCATAATTCAATATCCCACTATTTCTGGTTGTACTAAACAAACAAAAAACAACAAACAAAAAACTTGCATATGCTTTGTATTGCAGGATGTAAAACTAATCCCACCTATGGAATGCTAAGCTGACACCCAAGACAGTAAAAGCCTGCCATAATTCAATATCCCACTATTTCTGGTTGTACTAAACAAAAAGCTTGCATTTACAAAATAGTTGATAACAATATTCCTCTGGATTGTACAAGAAGGGAGACAGGGAACACTGATAAGACATGGTATTGATTGATCAGGCCGGCACTTAGACCACCAAGCTATCTCCCTGACCCCAAAGACGATGTCTTTGCCTGCTGATTCTCATTCCCTTCTTCTTCTTCTTCCTCCTCTTTTTTTTTTTTTTTTTTTTTTTTTTTTGCGGAACCAGGGATTGAACTCAGGCCCTTGTGCTTTCCAAGGAAGTGCTTATTCCACTGAACCATCTTCCCAACCCCTGATTGATCAGACTTGGCTTCTTTCTCTTCTTCATCAGAAGCTGCAGTCCTCATTTTTAGTTTCTCCATTTTCCGCAGGTGAATCTTACTAGGTTTCTTGACTAGCCACTTCAACCTGTTTTCCCTTGGCTCCCCTTTTCCCTTTTGCTTGTTGCACTTTTTTGTCCAAAGATTGATCCTTTCCCGCTGCTTTTTTTGAGCTTCATTTCCACTTTAGCTGGAACAGGTTTAGCTGACAACCTCGCCGATGTCCTCTTGGGCTCCTCCTTTGCCGCCCCTTTGGCTGACTGAGCTGACCTTCCTCTTGGGCATCGTGATGGTGCAGGGTTGGGAGGATGGCATGGGGAAGCTGCGGGTGGAGGTGCATGGTCCAGCCGCCAGAGCTGCTGGAACTCACAGCGGGGACGGTGGGAGAATGGATGGTTAGCTAACTTTTTAAAAGCAATGATCTTACTATTAAAACATGATTAACTTCTTGTTCTTTCATAAATAGTTACTGCTAGTTACCTACCCCCATCCTTTTTCCTGGATGGTCCACTGCCTTTCAGATGTTACCAATATACATTCTAATCATTATAATTTCTGCTATTTATTTATTATTAATTGTGCTACTAGAGATAAAACTGAGAGCCTTTACACTGAACTACATGATCAACTCTTATTTTATTTATAACTTTGGCACAAGTTCTTGCTCAGCCATTAAATTGCTTAGACTGGAATTAAACTTGTGGTCATGCTGCCTCAGTCTCCCATAATGCTGAGATTATAGTTATATAACACTTTTTCTAATACATAAAATTGTTTATGTGATTCCAGTGTATTTTTCTCAGATGAAAGTTGTTTCTAAATCCTATTGATAGTAGAAGTTAAAGTGAGAATAAGCTTTGATGGTGTAGTAAGGAGTACTTCATATTCTACTATCTGGTACTTTGTTCTTGTAGACTTTAAATACATATTCTTAAAGGAATATAATTATGTGCTAACCATAATATTTCTACACTTCTACATTTCTAGCTTACCTGCTTTTGGTCCTAAATTATTTCTTATAACCCTTTAGATTCTAGGAGGCCCTTTGAAAATTAGAGCTAAGAACAAATGCAACACTGATATGGTGTTGTTACATATAAATATAACCAGCATATTCTTGGAGTAAAAAATTTGTAGCATGTTGGAGTGGGGCTAGGGAGCATCTATGCAAAAGCTTAAAATTTTAAAAAAAATTGACATCAATTAAATGAAAAAATTTAAAATAATTCAGTGGTTCCATTTTATATGCAGGCATCTCAAATAATCTCATGACTACAATTCTGAAAGGTATTACTAGATGGGAAAACACAGGTTTGCCTTAATGCTATGAAATTAAAATGTGGAACTGATCCATTCAGTATCCACCAGTTTTTATTCTAACATGTTTGAACTTTATAAAATTATCCTATAATTAAGCCAAAGAAAAAATTGGCTCAAGATAGAATTGTAGCTTTAAAGCCCCTTCATTCCTTTCCTTCCCTTCATTTATTGTTCTAGCCATAACAGATTTGAGATTTTTGATTTGAAGATTAATACAAGTGTACATAGATGATAAATTTGAGAATACCTATCTAAACATTCTTATTGGGCTCCTGACTTTATATTATTATTGGCATTCTTATTTATACATATCTGGAGCATAAATGTAAAATAGAAAATGGTTGCATGAAATTATGGCCTTTTGGGTATGCTTTAGAATAAGGTACTTTAGATATGAATCACACTCTTTTTTCCATTGTGGCCTTTAAAGTTCAGCCTTCAACCACAGTTGTGATTGTTTTGAGTTTGTTAGTTGCCTGGAGTGTTATTTTAAGAAAGCAGAAACACCTTCATTTGCACACTTGGAGTTCACAAATCTTACCCCTGACTTCGTGGCTCCAGTTTTTCAAAAGAAGTGAAGCCAAGATGAAGAGCCATATGCTTTTCTGGGGAGTCCTGGCCATTTTTGTTAAGGCTGTTCTTGTGACAGGTATGTGGTATTTATAAAATGAGCTCAGATAAAAGGAAAAATGTACTACGGATCTGTTTTTCAGATGTAAAGATTTATGTTGAGTCTTTGGGTGGCCAGTTAGCCCGTTACTTCTAACATGCTTTTTTTTTTTGGCAATGATATTCACACAGACAAGACTTAATGTTACTCTTATTCTTTCTTATCTCATAGTTGTTTGCTTATTACAGACCTACAGAATAGGAAAATAGGTATTTTTGGCTGACTTATAGCCATACGCATATGAATGTACATGTATCTTAAAATTGTTAATGTGCCCTTGTCTCTTAAATATTTAATACAAATGAAATAATACTGTAAGTAGGATATAGAAAGCAATGAGATTTTTATTTCCACAGAAAGACTGGTATTATTCCTAATAACTTTTCTATATCTAAGCCCACAGATATATTTAATGATCCTTTCATAATGTTTAATCAGGTTGTCTATAACTTAATTGTTCCACTGAGCCATCTCCCCGGCCCCCTATAACTTAATTGTTGTAAATAGGATATTTTGTTTATTCCTATCACGTTGTCCTTGAACTTAAAATGTCTGTCCTGACCATTTAACCCGTATAACTTGATTTCATGACCTTTCAAACATCTGTTTGAAAATGGATATATTTTGAACATATAAATACTGTGTTAAATAATTTTCATCTAGAAGACACATGAATTAGAGTGATATAATTTGTCTGAATTGTTTCTAATGCTTAATGAACCTGTTCTTATTTTTAGAGAGAGCAGAATTACAATTAAGAATAGTCATTATATATATTTTTACTAATAACATCAAGAATAATGTTCTAATAATATTTTAAAAATAAAAATTTTAGTGGTGAAATAATTTACGCAGGGTCACACAGCAGCAAGTGATAGGTAGAGTCCAGGCAGCATGATCCTGTAGTTGATACTCCTAACTTCTGTTCTATTCTGCCTGCATAAAGAGACCACCTTTTTGTGTTGGGTGTATTGGCACATTCCTCTAATCCTAGCACTAGGGAGGCTGAGGCAGGAGGATTGCTGAGAGTTTGAGGCCTGTCTAGGCTACATGGTATGTTCAAGGCCAATTTGTGTCCAAAAAACCAAAACCAAAAATGTCACCAAAACAGGAGCCATCTGTTAATAAACTCATTATGGTCATAGCTACATGCATGTTATAAAATTCTCTTTCTTTCTGTTTGGGGATGAAATCCAGGACCTTCACACTAAGCTATATCCCCCCTCCCCTTTTTGAGACAAGCCTAGGCTGGGCTTGAATTGTAATCCTCCCACCCTGCCTCCCGGAGTGCTGGCATTACAGGTGTGCCCCACGTGCTTTGCTTCTATTTTTTTATTTGAATGAACTAAATTTAACAGATATTTACCTACTTTGTCTCAGATGATCTTGGATTAAAATAAGACAAACCCTTAATAGGTTTATTAGGAAAAATGCAGCCTTTAGATAAGAAAATGTTAAAGTTTAAGTCTTAGTAAGCAGAGAGTATTTGTACATTTTCCAGTAGATTTATTAGCTTCTCTAATATTTTTATCTAACAACAGTTATGATAAGTTTTTCCTAGATCTCTATGAAGGAAATACATTGTATTTTACAGTAGAACATGGGTTTTTTAAATTTAATATTCAGTAATCAAGTCATTCACTCAACTCTTAGTCTGTAGTTTTTGGTCAGGCATTATATACTCATTTATATTTCATTGAAAAAAGCATTTAAGAGTTATGAACATAGAAGTAGGGAAGATGACCCCATTTGAATTACTTTTCTCTTTTCACAACACACTTTAAGAGTTATGCCATTATCTTGAATTGCCTTCTTCAGTGTCATACAAAGCTGTGTCAGAAGATTTATTGATAATGTTAAATAATGACTTCATCATTAAAGTGTTTGTTGCAATAATCTTAAAGTCTTTTTGTAATGGCTTTTATCATTAAATTGAAATATTGCAACGAGGTTTTCTCTGCTCTGGTAATCATCTCAGAAATAATTAGATATCCAGTTGCAATGATCTACTTTAAAAACTTTCTTTTTTTTTGAGACAGTCTCGGTATGTAGTTCAGGCTGGCTTTGAACTCATTATGTAGCTCACATTGCCTTTGAACTTCAAAGGATATCTATCCTGACCATTTAATCTTTATAACTTGATTTTTATGTACCGTATTTTTTAATTTGTGGTTTAATGGGAAGAATTTTTAAATGCCAGTAGCTAAAATTATAGAAATAAAAGGAACTTTGACATCATAGTTAGCATTATTAATTAATACTATTATTAACTCAAGTATTTGTTAATTGCTCCAAACCCAATAAGAAATTTTGATAATTTCTTACTTCTTAAAATACTAACCAAACCTTTTGGTGTAGTCTTTAGACAATAAATGTTGACATTCAGAGTTAGGCTTTAATGGCTACTTGTGTATTAATTCATTTATTCATTGTTTCTGCATGGTGTATTACATTAAATTGAACTTGTACCTCACAATCATTTCTAAGTTGTTTTTGCAAATTTATAGCATTTTTCAACTATATAGCTCCATCCTTTAGAATAATTTTTATAAAAATATTAATACAGCTCTTATTGAATACAATTATACTATGATAACCTATTATTATAAAAAGAATAAAATTAGGAAAATGAGAATATTTAAAAATCTTAAAAATAGTTTATCTTTGGGGAAAAGGAGGCTGTTTTAGTCTAATGTAAGATAAGCAATTTTTTTTTAGTTACAAAAGAGAGTTGAAGAAGGATGTGACATTTCAAATGGAGTTTATAAAAACTAATGTTATTTTTTTGTTTCCTTTTGAATTAGTTGCTTTGGTTAGGGAAAACTGGAGTTTTGTTATCTCTTTGATTTTCGCTTTTGGTACTTTTTTTCCCTTATTAATTTAATTTAATTTTGAGGAGTAAAACAAAAGTGAAAAAAAACCAGCAGAAACAAAGACAAACAGGTAACATATAACAATATCAGTGTTACAGATTTTCAAAACAAGAATAGCTAATAGTGGCTGTTATCTATTTTTATCATCACATCTGTTGCTCAGATTAACAGATAGTTATGCATGATTGGACAAGTATTTGAGTATTACTGCTTGCTTTCAAGAAACCTCAATTTTTTTCTTATGCTTTTTTTTTTTACTTTTTTAGTCTAAAAATTTATTTTAAATAGAGTATAATAATAATTGATATGACATTAGAAATGGTACACATTTAGAGGACCAAGGTATTCAAGCATGGTTGTTGTATTAGACATTGCTGTCCTTGGAGTAGTTGCTTAGGATGGATTTATTTATTTATTTATTTATTTATTTATTTATTTGCGGTACCCGGGATTGAACTCAGGACCTTGCGCTTGCCAGGCAAGCGTTTATTCTACTGAGCTATCTCCCCCGCCCTAGGCTGAGAGAATTGTACTAATAATTTCCATCAGTTTTTTGAAAATAGCAGTTAATGTTTGGAATTTTTACCTTGACTAACTGTGTACACTGATATCTGTGATCAGAGTACTACATGGTGGCGGTTTTTACAAAGTTACATTATTCACTGAGCTGTGCCTTTTTGGAGCTATTAGAAGAAAATCAGAATTCTTTCAGCCCAGGTTTTCATGGAACAATCCAAGAAAAAGAGAAAACTCCTTTTTGACTACACTTGGATTTCCTTCACTATGTGAGAATCCAATTAGTATTAGGGTTAGTATTAGATTAGAAAAGAAAACAACTGGGAAAAGCTGAAGTGATCAGTCAGAAGTTCCTATTATACAGTGCATAATATTTTATTTTATTTTGTTTATTTTTTTACAGTATCAGGGATTAAACTCAGGACCTTGTGTTTGCCAGGCAAGCGCTTATTCTACCTGAGCTATCTCTCTGGCCCAATGCATAATTTAGAAAAAATACTTTTTTTTCTGTAAGAAAAAATACAAGAAAGATAAATGAATTTTTTTTTTTCTCCGAATGCCTTCAGGGCAGGTTTGGCTGGCTGGAGGGTTGTGGGGATTGAACTGCAGCAACCTGAGCCTGACTGTTTTGTTGAAGCAGCCACTTAAAGAACTGAGCTAGGGCCAGGCCCCCGATAAATGAATTTATTACAAAATACATAAATTGACTTTGTTTTTCCTTTTTTTATTTTTAGAAGTTTTATTTTTTAAACTTTTTTCTATAATTTTATTGAGAAACAAATAGCAATGAGACAGTTTCAAATCAAATTAGTAGGACAGTTTCAGTAATTAACACATTGCATACTATCATCCTAGTGGTTATTTGTTTTGCAAGATGCAGGCATGGTATCCTATTTACAAACACTATTAGAACAAATCCCTCTAGTCATTGAATTAAGATAAGAAAATGTTAAAGTTTAAGTCTTAATGTAGGTGTATATCCTAACCATTTTGAATACACAGATACAATTTCCTTTTTTTTAAATTTATTTATTTATTTTGTTTTCAGTTTTCTTTTTTTTAATAACATGTATTATCTTTGAAGCCCAAGATGAAGATGAAAGGACTGTCCTTGCGGACAATAAATGTCAGTGTGCACGGGTTACTTCCAGGGTCACCCGTTCCTCTGAAAACCCTAATGAAGACATCGTGGAGAGAAGCATCCGGATAATGTATGTGACATTCCATAGTTCCTTTCCTACCATTGTAAGCAGAGATAATTCTGTTATTAATCATAGTTAAAGGGCTGGTGAGATGGCTCAGTGGTCTAAAGCACCTACTTAGAACAAGCTAAGCAAAGCACAGGGACCGTGGTTCAATCCCCCAGCACCACATGCCAGCCAGCCCC